AACGACTATAATCTCAATTCATTGAAATTTCAGTATCTTCCGTTATCAATTATCTTTTCTCTTAGCCGTAATTAAGTAAAACTTAATTATCATGTGAAATGAATAATATAATCTTTAAATAGTAATCTTTAACTATTTAGAATTGGCAACAATATAATTTATGGATGAACCAATCACATATAAGTTAATTTATCTTGGATTTTATAGCAAAATTCATTTATCCATTTATCTAAATTACATTGTGACATTTTAGCTTATGTCAGCTTGTGATGAAAACTTTAAATCTAATACTTAACCCTAATCATTAATTGTAAATCAGAATTCTAATTACTTATACCGTTTTCTAATATTCATTTAGTTCGAATTAGAAGATGAACACTTTCACAGTAATTTTAGCATCATTCAAAAGTGATTCATAAAATTTCTTTCATAATTCAATTTGTTTAATAGTTTTATAAAAAGTAAAATTATTTTTAATGAATATCATAATTATTTTTATCAGCTATTAATATTAATTGAATATGAATTCATAATTAACAGAAATTTTGTTTTTAAATTTTTATTTTGGCAACCAACTTAATTCAAACAAACAAACAAAAAAATTTAAAGTGTTTATATTCTTTATTTAATTTTATTATCTTTAAGATTATTCATTCATTTGTATCTTAAAAATGTTAATTAATCAATTCCAAATTATTATATAACTATGTTTTATTTATCCAAAATGAATAACTATTTCAAATCCAATATGATTGAACTCTACTAGTCATAGGTATTCTTTAGAACTTCAGGAATTGTATTTTAAAGTTAGTCACTAGTAAACAGTATAATTTCATAAAGATCGTAGAACTTTTATAGCTTAAATCACAAACTAATTTTAGCTAGACTACTAATGAAAATCAAGATAACTTCGTGGTTTAAACTGTAAAGATTTTACAATCTATATAAAACTCTATACTGGTAATAATTATATGTTCACTAGTGATTGCGTTCAAGATACAATTCCTGGAGTTCTAGGAAAAAACCGTGACAAGTGGAGTTCAATCATATCGGATATGAGATAGCTATTCATCTTTGTCAATGGAAGTTTTTCGAGTACTATCAATAATTGATTGAATCGATACACATGGTCAACCCCAAATGCCCTGGTACAACTGAGAGTGTGAAGAGTCAGCTCTCCCTCTCAAAATGCTCTCACATGGCCACACGTATATAGCCATTACCAGGGAAGTCCTACTCACTACCTTATCATGGTGGGAGTGTTGTTTACGAAATTGAGAGGACGAAAAGCGAATGTTCGCCACTTTAACCGGGTTGGTCAATACGGAGGAGCCACCTAGGGGAGTTGGAAAACCCTGATTCCAAACCGATGGTGCATATGGGCTTCAGTATCCTAAAGGAACAAATGGCGTATGAACTAATCGTTGGTCACTGGCTACCATGGGACTACGTCTCCTTACGATGTTCCACTGCCTTGTGGATCAGACCCTTAGGTCAAAGGCTCGGGGTGTGGTCCCTAAAAAATCATCTGCTTCGGTTTGGGCACCGGGGCAGTATCACAGCCCTCACACAAATCAAATAAGATTTATGTGGCGCATATGTATCTGGTGCCCCCTTGTACCAGTAGTCATGTGTTCAAATAAATAAATAACCTTAGTAGCCTAGAGTTCAAGCATGCACTCATTTGACAGAAGACTCTGGGTTCAATGCTCGGTGGGATCGTTTTCTCGTACTTAAGAGGAGTTCTATACTAGGAAGAAATAGCTGTTCATTGTTCCTCGGTTTTGAATAGTGGTCTAGCTAGGATCAGTTCGTCATTCAAACTATAAAAACTCTAGTTTCTATAAATCGCTCTACAGTTATTAATAAAATTTTGCGAAACTAAACCTTATTGATAAACATAATTAACCTTAAGGCTTACTACATCCAACATGATTCAAACAGTCAATAATTTTGTATTTATTAGGACTTGTTCAACCAAATAAATTGTTAATCATTGATTACGACATGATGATCCACTATGGCGAATTTCATAATACAATTATTCTGTTTTAGTTTCAAATGTGGAAACACTCAACAGATGAAGATATGCCTAATTTCTCCACGGTTCACAGTCTGATATTCAGAATTATTGATTTACAAGATGTGACTGTGTATTGTATAATTTGCTATAATACTGACCCGTTTTAACGGAACTGATCATTTATCAAATTACAATTCGTCAATTTCACACACTTTCCAATTTGTTATTGACTTCCTTTTGATAAGTTAAAACGGCAAACCTTATCTCTATGTATTCAAGTACTTAGTGTTATTTTGTATATCTTATATTGTTAATGTGAAGTGAAGTAATGAGGACTGATACATGAAAAAGCAGTGATTACATTACTAATTTTTTTCGAAACATGGTAATTATACTCTATCAACTATCTAGTCCGAATATATTATTCACTTTCAATTTGTTTACATGATAAATCGCATTTGTACATCTTACTTATCAAATAATTTCATTCGGCGTTATTCATCTAAAAGGTTGACAGATTATGTAAAATCATGCATTTTAGTTGCCTGTTGCGATTAAAAAGTCCACTAAAAAAATCTATGATAAAAAACGAACGAGGATAATAGGAAACATCTTTTTTGAATCTATCGCTGATGAAGTAAAATGATTTAACAGTATAAATTTTATTTGAACAGAACCAGGAGTCGAAGACTTTCAAACGGTAGAAAGCTCACAAAAACTTAAACAGAAAAAATAATTTACCTGAAGTTTGTGTTTATGGTGTTATTTAGAAGAACGATAGATATCTCACAGTTAAACTATTCAACTCAGAGAGCAAACCTCCAAAAAAACCACCTATTAGTCAAAAAGATTAATATAATGATTCAATATAAACTCTTCAAAAGTCTATAGTACTTATTAAATGTGCTATCGTGTAAATCTATCGAAAAGGTGATGTTATATCCAAGATACTAATCCTGAATAGTTATATGACTGGTTTAAACCTTTTTGTTTTGGTGATACTTTACATGACGGGCTGAGTTGAAGTAGACAATTGCTTGCAATCAAGAAGCATTAAACAGCTGTGTCATGAAAGTTGTTCAGTGCTCTCAGTTTTTCAACAGGTGCTGCTGGTTTAAGTCGTTTCTTGATACAAAACATCTCCAAACTGTTTTTAATAGTAATAATGATTAGGATTATTCCATTTGAAGCAAAAGTTATTATGTGTGAGTCCTAGTATGAACATCAACACTAGAATCCGGACACATCGATCTGAGAAGTTCAGAATAAGGCGAAATGTGCGTTCTGGATTCTACTGTTACCCATAGTTCATACATCTTTACAAACCCCTCATCTAAATTATTTATTTATTTTGATAATTTCACTTAATGAATTCTATATTTGTTCATGAAGCTGATATCTCTAACAGTCAAAAGCACACCAAAATATATCTTGTAAATAAAAATGCAATCGTTTTTGCGACTGTTTGGTTTGGTCGTGGAGCTTTCATCGTTCTCCTGATGATGTCGTTCAGAAGGGCGATGACAGCTCCACGATCAAACCATCCAGCTCAGAGAACAAAATCCTACCAAAATCATCCACCTGAGCTACAAACCCCCACTATCTCAAAACGCAATTATCATTATATTCATGCTTCGTTAGGAGTAGCAAACTAATTGTATACGTAACTGTTATTCTTTGTCTTTCCTCTCGTTTGTTTATCCAATCAAAATAAATTGCCAATAGACTATTAATTAACTTACAGTATCAATCATGATAAAATTCGCAATCACGAAGTTTTATAGTAGAATATAACTATTTGTCAAAGGATCTTTAAACATGTGAACCTAACGGTCAACTCAATTAAAATCAACAGTTGCGAAAAAATATCGAGAAGATAAACACAAATCTAGTTTTTTCCATTGGTTGTTTGAACCTACTCATTCATGTTTAGGACTGCAATTGACCAGTCTCTTGTCAGCCACAACTTTACAGACAGTGGCTGCGTGATCCTACTTTTAAACAAATAAACACTGAACTGTGATATAAATAAGTTTTGTAAGATGAGTGGCATGTATTTCAAACTCAATCATTTAGTACGAACAATTTCACATTGCAACACTGTAAACTTTAAATGGACCATCTACAGTTGGAGCTCATTAGCGTCACTAGATAACTGAGTTCACAGAGAACCAGTTACCAGACAACTAGAACTGTGAAATGATCAATACCTTCGACAGTTATGATTTATAGAACACACTATACTGATATTTATTAAGTGGTTGATCAGCTTCAAAACTATACTTTCAATTCATTCATGTTGGGCTGGCTCCTAGAAAATGTGACGAAGCCTCCAAAGGCTCTAAAGAAGACGAAGAAATCCAATCTAATCAGAACCTGACAGAACGTTCTAGCATATCAACGAGGCATGCTGTGATTGGACAATAATATAACTTCCTACTTGTGGATTGGCTGGTTTATAACGATGTTATAGCCTATACTAAAAACTATAAATGCCCCTGTCTTTCTGTACAGTTTTGATACTTACTCAATAACCCCTCATACTGCTTTCTTTCGTTTTTTGATTTGCGACAGTAGGGGTTTTTCTGAGTTCGAATACCGATAACTGTAATCAGGTAGAGGACATAACAATTCACTTACTAAATATAGGTGCTTTACTCGGATTCAAACCATATCGTTCCATGCCTGAGAAACAATGTCACAACCTATGTAGCTAGAACCGAAGTAGGTGGAACGAGGTTCAAACCTTCGACCTCGGAGTAGAAATCCAAGTTCTTTGACAAGAAAAAACCAATGAGCCACAATTGGAAGAAGTCTCACCGCCAGGGTGACAACGACAACAACAAATAAATTTTGCGATTTCCGAGACTCGTTAATCGTCCATACACAACAATATAACAGCTTTTCATCATGAATCAATATACACAAGTATACTTTATACAAAATAATAATAATAAAAGGTTCAAAAGATAATTCATCATTCAATTGATTTCGGATGGTTTGTATATGTCTCAGTGGAGTCGACACTTGATTCAAGAAGACGTTCACCTATTGGCATGAAAAGAAGAAAGGAAAAAAGCATCGATAACTTTTGGGCTGCAATATTATAAGTGATTTACGAATGTAGTCCGATTCACAGTTAGTTTTAATCAATAACTAATGTCATCTAGAGTAATTTTGATAACCATAAAGCAGTATGGCTGGCTGCTTTGTGTTAGCTTGATATTCATTAAAAATAAACGATCCCATATGAGATGAGACTTAGAACCCTAAAGTTTCAATTCTTTGGAAATTATATATAAATTCACACAGTTAAGTATTATTTCTACAAATAAATTTGATAAGTGGAAGAAAAATAAAGCAAAAGATAAAAACTTACGGATTAATTCAGCAATAGCACGTTGAGTTCGACGTTCTAATTTACGCAATTTCTTCTCAACACCCCTTTTTAAATCCCAATCAGGTTTACGAGGTGCAAGACTTGCCAAATTCTAAAGAATATATGAAATAAGAGTATAAATTTGCATTGGACGTTAGAAATAAAAAGAGAATATAATAATTAACTCAGTAATTCCCTATGCTTGACTTTTTAAAATTATCATTGATACCACTATTACTATTTCAACTCCACTCATATAGATCTTGTGAGCTTTTTACGCAAACAATAGCAAATGAAACCGCTGAATATTTATGTCCGATCTTATGGTTGCTTATAAATGATGAGAATGAATTTTCAATCAATGTAGATTGCCTTCTAATCACCTTGATTTAAACAGTCAGTTAGCGGTATTGACTGTCGCACAGTAGATATGGATTAAATTCTAGCCTAGTTTGAAAAAGTAACTCAATAACTGATTACAGGTTTATACTCTAAAAGCGGTATAAATCACAATTTCCATGTGAAAAAGGTAAACAATAACTGATCGCCTAAATAGAAATAACCAAAACAAACTTCTAAGTGGAACATAAATAACCAAATGTGGCAGAATACTCAGTGAGTCACTACACTCCGCCTCTTATAGCACACTAATCAATTTTTAATCATTGTTTCAAGCTTTTGTTTATCTACAGTAGTGTTTGTTAGACACCACAGCTATTTGAACACAAGTTATCCAAGATCTCATACTGAAAATTATCATGTGCTCACTAGTTATTAGACTCAGGAGGAAATTTTCGGAATTCTAGTGAGAAATCGTGACCAGTTGAGCTAGTCCGTGTCGGGTGCGAGGCGGTTACCCAGTGGACACAATTTTTTATTTAAGCACATAAAAATTAGTACCAAGTATATATGCGCCACAATTCATCACTCGATTTGTTCACCAAACACAATGGAAGATGGTCGTGCAATCTCATGGATTGATTGATGTTAGACACAAAGACTTAGATGATGACTCAGTGGTCTAGAGGATCAACGTCCCCGTGCGAGATCGCTATAATAGGACGAGACGGCCAATCAGTGCTTCTAGGTATTCAATGGTGGTCCAACTTAGCTAGAATCATGATTTCAGTCAAATAAAATCGGTTAGCAGCGGCTTAGTAGGATAAGATGGCCCACTAAAAGATTACCATTTTAATGATCTCTGGGCATAAACCTTTTTTTATCACGTAATTGTTTCAAGGTTAATTGTCTAGTAGTGCAATGTAAATTATCTAATTAGGTTCACTATCATCGATCACCTCAGAAAAGCAACGATCAAATAACTATTACTTAACATCGATTGTTACATATTGATTGTAAATTAAACAACTTACAACTTCATCAACAATAACTGGTGCATCAGCAGCTTCAAGTTGTGCAATGATGTGCTTGTTCACTGCAAAAAAACAAATATGGTACGGTTAGATGTTCATTAGAAAAGTTTAGACGTTTGTAGATGATGGAAGAATAAATTGAAATGTACATGAGATCTGACTAGCAATGAAATTCAAAACTCGAGTTTCATATTTGAGACTCGTCAGTCGGATGCTCCTGCATCCTAGAGCTGATGACCTAATTCTAACCACGTTCCATCCATTCTATATAAACATATGTGATCATGAGTAAAGATGGATGGTGGTTAGCAGCGGAATCCAGGATACGCGTCTAGTCCTATTCAAGACTCGTCAGCTGGATATACCTGTATCATAGAGTTGATGTTCACTCAAAAACTCGAACCTAGTGCCGTTCGCTTCAAACGCCATCGCGTTATCCATTTAACTACTGAATTGAAACGCACGTCCTGAATCCTACTACCAGCCACTAATCATCTCTGCTTATAATGCTTGTCACTTAATAGCAATATCGAGGTAATCCTTACAGGATGCAAATATGCCAATAAAAAATTGATCAATTACAGTTTTAAATATCAATAAGAAGATCCAAACAATCAATACAAAAATGAAAATGTTATAATGGTTGTTATTATTATTATTAACTCCGCCTGTAGCTCTTCGAGATTTACTGCCGGTCCCAAGCCCGGGTAAAGTAGGAGAGTTGGGCATGGGGTTAGCGTCTTCATTCCGTAGAAAACTAACTCGCTAAAAAACCGCTAACCAGAAAAAATAACTCAAACCATTTAAACTCTGCCATGGGAGTTAGAAGATCTTCATTTAGAAGAAATATGACGCCTCATGGTGAAAGCCGAGTTCTTTCAGGAGTCATGAGGTCGATGCCCCTTCTAACAACCAGAGCAACAATTTTTATAGGCATATGGAACGTACGGACAATGTGGGATACCGGGAAGACCAGTCAAATAGTAACGGAAATGAGGAGGTACAACTTGGCAGTACTCGGAATCAGCGAAACCCATTGGACCCAAACTGGACAACAAAGGCTAAACACGGGAGAGATGCTGCTATACTCCGACCACGAAGAGGAAAATGCCCCACACACTCAGGGAGTTGGTCTAATGCTGTCCAAAGTAGCACGAAATGCACTTAAAGGATGGGAATCTCACGGATCCAGAATCATCAAAGCATCATTCGAAACAAAGGAGGGGATCACAATGAACATTATCCAATGTTATGCACCCACCAATGATATCAACGACGACGTTAAAGATCAATTCTATAAGAGGCTGCAGTCAACCATAAAGAAGTGCTCAAGAAGAGACCTCACCATTCTGATGGGAGATCTAAACGCCAAAGTTGAAGTAGACAACACCGGATATGAAGATATCATGGAACTGCATGGACTGGGAGAGAGGAACGAAGATGGGGAAAGATTAGTAAATCTGTGTGCATTCAACAAATTGGTCATAGGCGGCACAATATTTCCACACAAACGTATACACAAAGCTACATGGATCCCACCGGACCACACCACAGAGAACCAGATAGATCATATTTGCATCAATAAAATGTTCCGAAGGACAATGGAAGATGTAAGAACCAGGAGAGGAACGGACATAGCTTCAGATCATCACCTAGTTTTGGCCAATTTAAAACTGAAACTAAGGAAGAACTGGACAACTGAACAAACAACGCTGCGAAGGTTCAATACAGCCTTTCTTCGAGATACTGACAAACTGAATGAATTCAAGATAGCTCACAACAACAGGTTCCAAGCCCTACATGATCTACTGAAGGAAGAACCTACTATGGAGGATAACTGGAAAGGTATCAAAGAAGCACTAACTTCAACGTGCCAAGAGGTTCTGGGCCTCAAGAAACACCATCACAAGGAATGGATCTCTATAGGAACACTGGACAGGATCAAGGAAAGGAAGAACAAGAAGACAGCAATTAACAACAGCCGAACACGAGCAGAGAAAGTCCAAGCACAACCTGAGTACATAGAAGCAAATAAACAAGTGAAGAAGAGCATTAAAGCCGACAAGCAGAAATACGTGGAAAAACTAGCAACGACGGTAGAAAAAGCTGCAAAAGAAGGAAATATGAGACAGATTTACGATACAACGAAGAAACTAGCAGGGAAATATAGTAAACCAGGGAGACCGGTCAAAGACAAAGAAGGCAGGCAAATCACAGGCCAACAACAGCGGAACAGATGGGTAGAGTACTTCGAGGAACTCCTGAATAGGCCCGCTCCAAAGAATCCACAGGACATCAAAGCAGCACACACAGATCTTCCTATATATGTCAATCCACCAACGACGGGAGAAATCAATTACTGATTTCATCATCTGAAGTGTAAATTTTTACTCTACACTGATCATAAAATATAGGACCATAACGTTGGGGTGATCCAGAAAACTTCTCCCGGAAGCCAGGAGAGGCTCAGGAAACACTAAGAAGCATTTTATCCCATCAGCGTTCACTAGAAGTTTAGCCAGAAACATCAAGAACATGAAAAGTCACATGTAGAGTTTCTGATTGGATGATTACTATACTGCTACTATGTTTAGTAGCATTCCAGAATTTTCGGGAAACCCAAAGACATCTAAAATACTATAAAAACCCTATATTTTTTGTACTATAACGAACCTTTGGAGTAAACTGCTTCTCGCATGTTTTGTGTCTTTTCTCTCGTGTTCAGGTCTCTGTGTAGTTCTAGCTTGCGGGTAATGAGAATAGCTTAGGAACGGAATATAGCGTTCAATTAGCAAGAAGTATCACATAAATGTATACAACTACACAAAATAAAGACTGTCTTCTGACGTTATCCAACCTTGGGTGCATTTATTCAGATGAAAATGACAACTGCACTATGGTTTAGTGTCATTAATTTTCAACGTTTTCATCATTTTCAATGCTACTATTTATACAGAAAAAAACCCATATAAATTTGTACTGTTAACTTAAAATGTCTCCTAAAAATCATGAGTTCATAATTTAATTTCCTACTCCCACTAAATAAATTCGTAACGCCCCATACTCTTTTAATAGTTACAAATGACAGCAGTTCTTTGAAAGATTTTCATCATCTACCCTTCCAGACTATATTTCTTAAGTATACATTAAGGTGGTAATGTTTTGTATACTAATTCAATATTTTTAAAAATACAATTTTAAAGAACCAAGAGTGATATGAGATAGTAAGTGGAACTCAGACTTTTGTTAATTACCTCAATAGGATAGATAAAATTACCGTAGCATGTACGAAATAGTCAACAGCTTCAATGATTTTATACTAATTGAGTCAAGTTTCATATAAATGCTGACTAATTCTGCATTTATTCAATAGATGAATGGTGTATAATGTAAGATTTTCAAGTGGGATGTAAACATTTCATAGTTAACATTATGAATTTACCATCTACACAACGTTGAGAACTGAAAATCGCTAGACAATTGTCTCGTTCTAGTATGTATGCACCTTTTCAGCAACGGAAGCTGTGGGTTGAACAACATAGGACTTTTAGGTTTCTCGGCATTTCATACTAAGATGAAACAGTTTTTCTGTGTAAGTTGATTTTAAATAGTTGTCCAACTGAAGTTAGTCTCTGACATGCACTGCAGAGAGATCAGACTCAACAAACTTCTAAATGTAATGTCTACATTATTTTAGGATCTTAAACCTGGTGATGATGTACTATTTACATATAAAATAAATAAACAGAAAACTGTGAGAAAAGCATTAGTTCTTGAAATGTTGAAATTAAACAGGTAATGAGGACTACTTGTAAAATTAAGACCAATCAAAGACAAAGAAGGAAGACCAATCACTGAGATTCAACAACAGCGCAACAGATGGGCAGAGTACTTTGAGGAACTCCTGAATAGGCCGGCTCCAATCAATCCACCGGACATCGAAGCAGCACACACAGATATTCCTATAAATGCTAATCCACCAACGACGGAAGAAATCAGAATGACCGTCAGACAAATCAAGGGCGGGAAAGCAGCAGGACCCGATAATATACCAACTGAAGCACTGAAGTCAGACATCGAAGTAACTACAAGCATGCTTCATTTTCTATTCAAGAAGATTTGGGAGGAGGAACAAGTGCCGATGGATTGGAAAGAAGGACGCCTCATCAAGATCCCAAAGGAAGGAGATCTGAGCAAGTGTGAAAACTACAGAGGCATTACACTACTGTCAGTACCAGGAAAAGTCTTCAATAGAGTGTTACTGAACAGGATGAAAGACGCAGTTGACGCTCAACTTCGAGATCAACAAGCTGGATTCCGTAAGGACCGGTCGTGCACAGACCAGATTGCGACACTACGGATCATCGTCGAACAATCAATTGAGTGGAACTCGTCACTCTACATCAACTTCATTGATTATGAGAAGGCATTTGACAGTGTAGATAGGAGAACGTCATGGAAACTTCTTCGACACTACGGAGCTCCTGAGATCGTCAATATTATCCGGAACTCATACGACGGACTACAGTGCAAAGTAGTGCATGCAGGACAGATGACAGATGCATTCCAAGTAAGGACTGGAGTCAGACAAGACTGTCTACTCTTTCCCTTCCTCTTTCTTCTGGTGGTCGACTGGATTATGAAGACCTCGACATCTGAGAGAAACTACGGCATACGATGGACAGCTCAGAACCAATTAGACGACTTGGACTTTGCAGATGACCTAGCCCTCCTATCACATACACACGAACAAATGCAGATAAAGACAGCCAGCATAACAGCAGTCTCTGCATCAGTAGGCCTCAACATTCACAAGGGGAAAACCAAGGTCTTCAAATACAACATGGAGAACACCAATCCAACGACTCTTGATGGCAAAACTCTGGAAGATGTGGAATCCTTCACATAACTGGGAAGCATCATCGATAAACAAGGAGGTTCAGATGCAGACGTAAAGACGAGGATTGGCAAAGCAAGTAAAGCATTCCTTCAATTGAAGACAATTTGGAACTCAAAACAACTTTCAACCAATATCAAAGTCACAATCTTCAATACGAACGTCAAGGCAGTTCTACTGTACGGAGCTGAAACCTGGAGAACGACAACGACCACCATCAAGAATGTACAAGTATTTATCAATAGCTGCCTACGCAAGACACTCAACATCCATTGTCCGGATACCATCAGCAACCAACCAACCAGCATTCTCCATCCAACTCTGTCCTGGGAGATCCTTTCCAGATCTTTCCAATTGTTATTCATCCTTTTCATATCCGATTCTATTTCCCGACGTAATGCGTTCTTTGACCTTCCTCTTTTCCGCTTCCCTTCAAGAGTCAAAGTTAGCGCTTGCCTCGTAATGCAGTTTGATGATTTGCGTAATGTATGTCTTATCCATTTCCATCGTCTTTTCCTAATTTCCTCTTCAGCTGGAAGCTGGTTGGTTCTCTCCCACAAAAGGCTGTTGCTGATGGTATCCGGCAAATGTATGTTAAATGTCTTGCGTAAGCAGCTATTGATAAATACTTGTACATTCTTGATGGTGGTCGTTGTCGTTCTCCAGGTTTCAGCTCCGTACAGTAGAACTGCCTTGACGTTCGTATTGAAGATTGTGACTTTGATATTGGTTGAAAGTTGTTTTGAGTTCCAAATTGTCTTCAATTGAAGGAATGCTTTACTTGCTTTGCCAATCCTCGTCTTTACGTCTGCATCTGAACCTCCTTGTTTATCGATGATGCTTCCCAGTTATGTGAAGGATTCCACATCTTCCAGAGTTTTGCCATCAAGAGTCGTTGGATTGGTGTTCTCCATGTTGTATTTGACAACCTTGGTTTTCCATTCGTGTATGTTGAGACCTACTGATTCAGAGACAGTATGTTTAGTACCTAGACGTAATTTAGGTGGTTGGTGATAGTAAGTAGAAAACCCTCCTCAACCTGTGTTTCTTGAAAGTTGGAACTCGTCAGTAAGGCGTATCTGAGAAAACTGATTTAGAACCCGAGTCAATCAGCTCCACAGTCTGAGTAATTACCACTAAGCTATTTAGACCGTGGCTACCTGTAGGGAAGAAATATTTGAAAATTAATCACTGAGTAGTAGTGACTTATGTCATATTTTTCTAGTACTTTAATGGTGATCAAATTCAATGAGTCAAGTTCTATTTTGGCTAATAGTCCTAAAGAACTGGACAAAAGTCACTTTGATCACTATTTAATAACTTAACTGATTGCAAACTTAATTTAGATTATTCTTATGTTTTCAAGAGATAACCAATTTCCAGGTACTTACGATCTACTGGTTTACCAGCAGGCAATTCACCATCCTTTAATTCTTCTGACTGTGGTTTGTAATTTCGAAATATCGGTTTGGGTAATTCTCCATCATCACTATTGTTTAAGTGTATGATACTTTTATGTGATGCATTTTTCATACGTAATTGCTTTAAACGTTCTTTACGCCTTAAGGCTTCATCACGCATATGTCCTATGGATTGATCTGTTTCATTATTAACATGATTATCACTGGTATTGTTTTCTTTATTTTCTGACAAAACTAATTCATTACTTCCATGTTCTGGTTCTTGATCAATATTGTCAAGTGTAGTCATCTATTCTGAAACATGAACACAGCAAAAGTTTGATTAAAAATGCTACCAATCAAATTTAAAAACAATAATCTTAATGAAATAACAGAATGAAGTGGTTAGCAGCAAGTTTGAGTCCCCTGAATGAAGAACACTTTAACAGTGAGTGAAATCCTAGAAAGTTTGTCGGAATTTCAATTATGCAAAAAACAACAACTATAATTATCAGGATATGACAAAAATATTGTAGAAGCTCAACTATCGACTAGTCTATGTGAAGACTACAAACCTTTTGTTTCATAGGCAGTTAAAATGTATATACATAGTATACATTTTTTGGCAGTCGCTGAAAAACTGAAATGAATTTAGTTTTTTCTTATGATAAAATACTAAATAAATATTAGCCATCCCTACCATGATGTGGTACTTGGACTTGGATATTGTGATGACCTGTTTGAACTATAATGGCTGAAATATTAATTCTCTTAGGTTCTACCATGTTAGGCGATTCGGTTAGGGAATGACCAGACTAAAAACAGTAATTCGAGGTCCGAAGGAGGGGTCATACTGCTAGCAATAATAGAGAGTACTTACCGAAGACCAAAACCCATCCCTTGAAATGTTTCAAACCAAGCTAACTCATGAAATTTACATGATCATCCGGACCTATATTCATGAAAATTTTCGAACTAGACAGAATGTAACGGAATCAACTAACTATGATCATCACACCAAGAAAATCATTTGTTCACAATAATTAAAACAAATCTATCGATTTTAATCAATTTTACTGGGTTTTCTTTACAAACAGTGTGCGAATGAAATAAAAGTTTGACCGGAAATGAGAAGTTCAATTGGAATAATTGGAACAAGAAGAGTGAGAAATAAATACACACACACACAAAGTAGACGAAATGACTAATATACACTGAAAGGAAACAGAATTCCTTGCTGTTGTGACGTCATTCTCATCCTCGAATAGTGATAATAATAAAGCTAATTTGGCTTAGAATAACAGAAACAAAAGCTAATTAAAGCTGTTTGATTATCCTAATCTTTTAAGACTCTATTATTACAAGCTGAGCAACGAAAAAGGGAAACCAAGATGTCCGTAAAGGAGAACATAAAGAAGAGGAAGAAGGAAAGCACAACAAAATAAATAGAGGATACTGAAGAGAATAGCACATAATTTTCAAGCATTATCATTAACGAAATTGATGACACCATCTACAGAAACTACTTGTAGTGATTTTGAAGTAGTATGTCAAAAACAAATAATAATAATAATAATATTTTTGAAGTTTTTTCACTATTGAAAATAATTATAGAACGGTTGGAAAACAGTCAAAAAAGACATCACATCAAATGGAGACAAAATAAAACATACATGACACCAAAAAATATCATACGAAGAGAAATGAAGGAATTTCACCGGGATATATAAAAATAGATATATATACATAATACATCAGCGAGCTGAAAAAAAACAGGATTGAAAACTGAATGAAAATAAACTGACGTTTAACCTCTTTAATGTTTAGAAAGACAAGCGCTGGATATCAATCGATCCAGTGTAAATGGTTGTAGGTGTGTTACTGTCGAATTATTTTCATATTGACAATGACACTACCCCAAGACCATTTAAAGTATTTGTGCTGTAAAGGATATAAGCGACGCCATTATTAATACTACTACTAGTACACAACAGATCTGAGGCTAAATATTTACATGTTTCATAGCGTCCGGTGGGAAGGAGTGAAGAATAAAAGATAGGAGGAAGGAAAGCAAATTTATACATTTTTTTTAGATAGAAAAGACTTTGTTTCATTGATTCTTTAAAATGTAACCAGAAAAAATAGCTTAAGCTGCGCATAAATTAAGAATAACCACAAAGAAGAGTACACCAAAAAGGACAATACAGAAAAACATGTATACAAAAAGTGCGCTGAAATAATTACACGCGATTATTTATAATTAAAAGCCGAAAAATATGTTCATTGAACATATACACACATACATAGTACAGAAAAATATTCAACAAGAAAAAAGAGAAGACAAAAAAAAGCGCTTCAAAAATTTGTTTACATACACGTTCTTTAAAATCTAACCGTAAGTACAATACAAATAATAAGGAGGCTGATGATCATTTCATATTAGAAACAGAAGATAATAACTTTTGATATTCCGTTGATTGCTCTTCGTTAACTATTGTTTGACTCTGTTGATTTGGTTGAATTGGTTTTAAATATTCTGTACTATCATACTGTATTTGATCTTCTGTTCGATTTAATATATCATTAAAGCATAATGTTTGATTTTTTCTTTTACATTGTAATATTTCACTATTGATCATATTAGATCTATGATCTGTAAGTGTAGAGAAATTAATATTCATAGAATAGGGTAGACAAATTGTCGGTGGACATCCAGTACTACCACGACTTAGTATGGTATTACTTTTATCATTATTATCATAGATAGTACTAGTAGTAGTACTTAGAACATCTGACAAATTGTAGACATCAATATCCTCCGTCCTAGAATAATTCCTTAAAGATGTAGTATATCTACCATTGCATAAATCTTTAGAAGCGTCCATCAATGTGGTGGTCGTAGTAACAGTAGCAGCAGTAGTAGTATTAGTAGTAACATATGGAGAATAGTAACAGTAGTAGTATGGTGGTGGTGGCTTACAATCTGTTTTCTGACTGTTAGTATGATAATTACTCATTGTTGTGTTATTATCATCCTTCTCATTAATGCCATTACTATTATTATTATTATTATTATTATTATTATTATTACTGTTATTAATATAGTTATCATTGTATTGTTGATTAATAACAGATAGACGGAGTAATGTAGTCAAACGTTTAGTTACACAACCAGCTGAAAGACGTGCTTCTGCATCTTGGTCCCAGCATTCTTCAACTGTTTCCCACAATGTACATAAACCCTAAAAGAATGTAACAAAAAGGAGTAAATAGACAAACTGAGAGCTTTGTACTCTTCTTTTTTTTTCTTTTAAAACAGACTATGGTGTTAAATAAGTGAATGAAATAACAACATTAAATTTTAGTCTAATTGTGGATGCGATCTCGATGTGAATAGTTGGCTTTAATTTATTAATTTGCTAACCTTGTCAAAGTATATTAACTGAAGACTTTTTGATGTCTTTCGAACCCAAGAAATAAGACTAGGAGGTGATAAAACTAAAAATCAAGTAGTATTTAGCAATATGAAATGTACCGTTGTTTGCATAAACGTGGTCAGTATATGACATGGTGTCGTGGTATGAAAGAAAGCTGCAAAGGGCTAGCTTCTGTTGGTCCTTCACGACTCCCTGGTTGGGGTCCGAGAGACGGTGTAACGCAGTGGCTAGAGACGTTATCAGATATGGCTCAGAATAGAAGCCAATGGCGATCCTGCTGTAACCTTCTTTTACTTTCTTCATAAAAAGTGGTTGTATCTTCCTTAACTGAAAGATCTCTTCTGATTGTACCTTTCCGTTTTCCCCATCATCGTTCTCTCTCTTTTTTTTTATAATTCCCCACGTTCATTACTTTTTTTTCTCCTTCTCTTCAAATTATCATTGTTTTGTGTGGCGCATATATATTTGGTGCCCTTCTGTACCAATATTTATGTGCTCAAATAAATAAATAAATAAAATTGCATAAACGTGTTTCAGCACTTTTCATGATCATTCAGTCTTACTCTTGGTTGAAGGATAAAGCAAATAATAAACTTTTAACTTAAGGAATTCGATTGCCAACAATGAAATCGGTGCGATTAATGGATCTAACATTAAAGATTGAAATCAATATGATGAATGTTACTTTGTTAAAAATTTCATTCCAAGCAGTTGGAGTTATTTTGAACTGTCTGATATGAATGTTAAACACTGTGTAGTGGAGACAATATTCCGGAATGACGAGACACAAATATAGTAGAAAATCGTACTTTGAAAAAAGAACTTCGAATATGCTGTACTCATCTACTAAAAATGAATGGAAACAATGACTGGAAATTCTAGATACAGTAAACTCATTGGACATAGAAAAATTGTAGACAATCTTAGTCATTTTCATGTATTCCTATCAGGACCATTGAATGATTTATAAGTTTAAAGAAAGAGAAAAATATTCCTGGTAGATATTTTGTTTGGTATTATATAAATATGATCATCAACCAAATATGGGCTTGTAATATATAATGAGTTCTGAGTTACACTTCAGTTGTATGACAATTTAATGATTCTCTGTCTATCTCATCTGAAGTAGGTGAAGTGGGGTTTAAACATAAAAGCCATCAGCTGAGATTTGAATGATTCAACAAATTAAATCACTATTTCACCTTAACAAGTAGATGCGTAGAATGTAATGAAGATCTAGAAAAGTATCAATCTTCATGAAGCATGAGTTAACTGACAGATTATAGGTGAAATAACACAATAAGTACTTACTTAATTTACGCTTTCGACTTACTACAGTAACAGAATATTTAACACTAATGATATGTTCACTTACTCTACGCTATAATACATAAAATTATATTTCTAAGTACTACTGATTAAAATTTTATCAAAGTAATTGATGACGCCAAAATGAGATAGATATCACTACAAAATAAAATCAATGGTTTAATGAATTTCTTTTTTTCTTCGTAAATAATTCTCTAATTGGTGTCAGGCTGTCATTTAGAAAAAATTTAAAAACTAGTGAACAAACATAAAAGCATAGAAATTCGCCGACTAAGATAGTTCAAAAACAATTTCAATATTTTACATTGTATACAACCTAAATTCACTTAGATTTGTTTAAAGTTGGAATATATATCACAAGAAATTATGTCTATGAAATCAAAACACATATCCGGATAGGTGAAATGGTTACAAATTGATGCCTAGTATTGTAATAATGAACATTATAACTGATGGTTGAAGTCAGCCAATAACAACCGGAACATGGAACCTGTCATATATGTGCATCGGTCTAAGTTGCTACAAAATGTCTGCTGATAGATGAAAGTATTAGGACAAATATCAGGGTAGTAGGAATTAGAAACAGTATCAGTGGTAGTAGAAGACATTAGGCATAAACAATATGAATTCGTGAAATACAAAGTGGAAGGAAATTTGGAAGCTCAAGACTTAAGGGAAGGACAAAGATTGAATGTATCTGCGCGATTACCAATGATTCTGAGCCGTTTCATCCAATTTTTCCAACCCCTAATCCTGTTTATTTTAGAAATTAAGTGTAAGCATGGTAAATGAGGTATTGTGAAAGTTATTATAGAGGGAAATCCAACCAGACTTTTCAAGCTATCGCGTTGCATATTAAATTTAATGCTCTACCTAACACCTTCAGGCATTTTATTTGCATCGCAATACAGTATATATATGGGGCACCTCAACAGTGCTCATTTACGACCCCACAACCTGGAATCCAAATCAGGGGGTCCGGTTTCGTGAGTGAACAATTAATCTGTAAACCACTGAGCCATCATCCACTGGTGTTACTGTTTAACTCCAGTCTATTCAAAATAGTGCGCGATATCTTCCAATGCCCAATGTGAACAGCTGTTTTACGCCCGACATAGTTGAACTCCACCTGTCGACGCTTCTCATTAGAACTCCAGGAATTGCACATAGAATCTAGTCACTATACAGTTTTGCAGTAATCATATACCCACTACTGACCAACTTCAAGATGCAGTTACTAGAGTTCTAATAAGATGCCGTGACAAACAGAGTTCAACCATATCGAGTATAAAATTGTTATTCACCTCGGGCAGTG